ACAGTCCAATGCACATGTTTTTTCCATCTTGCCAATCCAAAGACTTAAATATAAAGTTATGTACCTAAATTATATAGAATTTATTTAGTAAAATACTACGAAATTAGTCGACCAATGGTCATCTGTGTTGTTAAAGCATCCTTAAATACTGAGACAGAAAAAATGGTGGACCCCTGAGACAACTCATACCGAACTCTTTGTTAAAATAATCTTTGTAATAAAGTACTATCTATCTACGGTATGTCCTATATACTGTCTAATGTCAACAGACGTTGCTGAATAAGTTGAGGCAACCTGCATTCTGTGGCAACAGAAAAACTTGCTGTTTGCAGAAGCAACAGTTTAAACAGTTAAAAGTTGTATACTGTATGTACTGTATAAATTCTCACTTCATTCACAAGATCAGTAATGGCTTTTCACACAAGCCTGTAGTCACTGGTGAGCTCTTTTTTTCTCCAAGGTTCATTTAGTAAGGTGTAATGACATGTGGACAGAAAAATAAAAATCAAAGGCAGAGTATTGTTAACTCATGTGACACATGAAGTTTGAGAATTTCACATTGACCAGAATAGTTTGAGAATTTGACCAGAATAGTGACTGGTGATGAAGCCTAAACCTGTTGTTATTGTACGGTGAGACAAACAATGTCTATTGAAGGCAGCAAAACTTTTGGCTGTTAGCAAGTGTAATTTGTGACGTTTCTCACTGTTTTAAGGTCACCACTGAATATCAAGACTAACGTATATTTTTTTTGTTTTTTTTTTTAATGTGATGTGTTTGTTTACACAGTAGTACATTTTGGAAGCCACAAGATTAATATTTATTTGTTGTTTTTATTTTAATCAACAAACTAATCGCAAAGTGACTAATATTTTGGTTTGACATGTATGATTTGCTGAAGCTTAGATGTTTGGATATTCTCTACAGCTCTATTATACGTATATCTAATAAGGGAGTAACAGGAATAGCCACAGTTAAATTACCTTACGGTTCGTTTGGGTACAACCTCTCTACAAAGTAGAAGTGGAGAGTCATAACATTGTTTGTACATCTAAAGTACATCTAGACCAGGCATGGGCAAACTAAGGCCCGTGGTCCGGAAGCGACCCATTTAGCTTTTTAATCCGGCCCACCAAACCGTTCTAAATTATATATTTGTCGATATTCTCAGTCCTTCAGGTCATCATAATAACCTCAAAAGCAAGTGTGCAACTGGCAACTGGTGTGTGTGTGTGTGTGAGAGAGACCTTATGAACCTCAAGAAAATCCAGTACACCATTTTTCCAGCCAGCTTAGTTAGTCACTAGTTTATACAGGCAGTCTGAAGGTCAGTTAAAAGGTGGCAGGGAAGAAAAAGGGTTTGGTAAGTGGGTTGAATTGTTGAACGTCACTATGGCAACGGATTTTGAGTCTGAGTGCACAGCTATGGCAGAGGCATTAGCATATGTTTTAAAACAGCTTACTGAGGCCAACACAACATATTCTCACAGGTCTAGATGTTTTTACATCGTCAGAGGATCACCACACCTTTCAAATAAATGAAAACAACTAGTAGTTTTACCAAAAACCAAAAATGTCTTAAGTTACATTAGTAAAAAGCTGGACCTGGTGATTGTGGATTAGTAATAGCTGTAGCAGAGGCAGCAAGCACAGAGGCACAAAACAAAATGTTCCAGTAGAATCATGGACACGAGGCCCAGACAACATTACTTGTGTTACAAGTGTTTGTGTCATTTCAACTTTGTGTAAAAGCCTTAATTTCTGAAATTCAATTAGCAGTATCTGTTATTATATTTGGTCTTAATGTCTCACTGGACACAGTATTATAGCGCAACCAAACTGTTAAAAGGAGCCAGAACTGTGGTTTTTGTCTGATGTGAGCATTCTTCATCCTCAGTTTAAGAGTTCATATAGAGTCATTATGTCTTAAATAGAAAATCCTTTGTATCCTTCCCTAGCTATAACAAGCACTCAACTAAGCTCAGCAGTCCATTTCATGCAATATTTTTTGGGCTACATGTTTTTGAAAAAGGTGATTATCAGTTAATGAGCTTAAATGTCTGAGACAGTTTCTGATTTGTTTGCAGCTTATAGTGTAGTACAAATGCTTTAAATACTACAGATACAGTTTCCTAAAAAAGGGTTCTCACCCTTGGGATCACTTGTTAACCTATTTTAACACTTGCTTTTATTCTCCTCAATAGACACCCTCAGGCTTGAAGAAAGCATCTGTGGTTTGATTGATTATGTCTGCTTAGTTTTACTGCCGGACTGAGTCACTGGTACCAGTCACTGCCTGGGATCAGCCCCACTTTGCAGATGCTATGAGCTACGACAAGTAGGAGGTGGGGATGACTTGAAGTAGAACTTATCAGTTCTGTGGAATGTGTGAGAAGTCATTTGGGATTAGGGAGGTGGTAAACATTAGACTTTAGATCTTTATTTGTCATTTTCAATGGTAAGAAATAACCAATGGAAATGCAAAACACAATGTAACAAATAAAACTGCTAAATCATCCATAGCGACCAATCCCCATAGACCCACATCGAACAGAAAGACGCTACAGTAACAAAGATAGTAATAGTGCCAGGTTGTAGACACACTCCTAGTGGCAGTCATGAAGAAGGAGTGTGTGTGTAAGTGGTGAATGTGGGGGTGTGATAGCACAGTCCATCTTGAGACACGTAGTGATATGGGTGGGTGTATGTTTGTGTGGATAAGGGAGAAAACTTGGGCTGGGGGTCAACAGACCGCATAGGAAGAACAATTACCATTACTACCTAGAGAAAGCATGTATAAAAATAGGTATTTATATAGTAAATTAAATTTATATTTTTTGTAAATTTTATCTCCACCTGCTCCATAATAATAATAATAATAATAATAACAATTTGATCTATATAGATCCCATATTTAAATTCAGATATGCTGTTAACAGGCTGCCCCCAGCAGTCACCAAGCATGTGGTTTCTCTGGAAATCAAACCTAGGACTCTCTGCTCTCTGCTTTCGAGGCAGGGGTGCTAAACTGCTACATATGGAACCGACTAAACTACTGCCCTCTACAACTAATGATCTAACAACTATAAGATAGCTGAAATCAACAATTGAGATAACGTGATGACCACCACACAACTGATGTCAGTAAAACTTGTGTAGAGCATGTGACTATAGCTGGCAGCAGCCCAGGGAAGCAGCTCTCTGCTCCCCTACAAAAGCTGGTTACCAGCAAAGAGGATTATTTTAGCAACACTAAGTGGTTTGACTCTTCTAAATCATACATGAAGGTGGACAATCTAATTTCTTTAGGTACTGGTAGAAATTGAGCTGGTGAAGGACAAAGAGTTTTAATAGGCAGCAAGTGAAGAGAAAAGGTCAGAGTTCAGGCTCTTTGCTTTCCCATGCTCCTAAATCCCAATACTTAGGAACACAAAGATGTATATATGTGAGCACCAACAATATGAAAATATTGAAAACACTAACATGCAGTATACCATATTTTTAGTGAGTTACAGTCTTGATTTAATTATTTTTTCATTTTGTTTTGATTTGAATTCACTTTTTTTTCATGGTTTGTCCTTTGTATACTGATAACAAAGATATCAGTTGTCTAGTTGCTTTTGAATGTTGCATTTAGAAGCCATACAGCATTCCACTCCAGGGATGGGATCGAAATCCTGTATATATTTGTGGTAACATTCATTTGGAAATGTACTTTCTAAACAAGTGCAATTGCCCCTTATTTAAACAATAAGGATCTCCTATGGTCCTGGGTAACAAGTCTGGCAAAAACTTTGCTCATTATATCTCATCTATACTCCATAATTAACAGAATTCCAATTACTCTCCTTTTTCAGGCTTCCTGTGTACAGTGGCAGCTGACAAGTGTCTCTCATCTCCCTGCAACAATGGTGCCACATGCTTTGAATACATGGATGACTATGCGTGCTTGTGCCCCAAAAAACCAGTGTGGTACATGGGGAAAAGATGTGATGAACTGTATGACGCCTGTATCTCAGCACCATGTGAAAACTGCACCAGCAAACTTGGGACCCATGAGTATACATGCCACTGCCCAGCAGGATTTACAGGACTCAACTGCACTGAGGACATAGACGAATGTCTTAGCAACCCCTGCAATGGTACCAAGTCACATTGTCTCAACGGAATCAACACATATTCCTGTCATTGTCCGCTTGGATTTAAAGGTGAGGACTGCCAAGAAAGTGTTCCCATCTGCTTAAACGAAACATGCCAGAATCATGGCACCTGTGTGGACATCCTTGACACAGGTCCTTTGTGCTATTGTTATGCTGGGTACCAAGGGTTGTACTGCGAGGAGAACATTGATGATTGTGAGTCAGGCCCCTGTCAGAATGGAGCCATCTGTAGAGATGGGATCAACACCTACCAGTGTTTCTGTGTGCCTGGATTTCAAGGCTACCATTGTGATTTGGACATTAATGAATGTGCCTCACACCCTTGTCAGAACAATGGTACATGTCTGGATGAGGTGGACTACTACACCTGCTACTGTGCTCAAGGCTTTAAAGGTAAGGCGGTACAAGTATTAAGTCTCTAACCAAGATGTGTATTTGTTTTCTGCATTTTACCATGCTTATTTTGGATAACTACATTTAGAAAAGTGACTCTGAACTGATGTACTGTAAAGAGAGTATATGATGGGATAGTGAGTTTGAACCTTGAAGATCATGTGCACGTTAAATATTTTCAGTGGGTAATATTCTTAAGGTAATATTTCTTGTGCCAAAATACGGCAGATTGCATTTTTCAAGGGAATTTTGGCGGCACTAATTGCAGTAATCACAAAGTGACAAATAGTCCTTGTCTGTGTGGTCTGTACTGTCATTCAGATACTGAGATCTGTTTCCACTCTTTTTGCCGACTGCTATTCCTCCTTCATTCAAACCAGGATTTAACTGTGAGGAGGAGATTGATGAGTGTGAGGAACATCCCTGCCGCAATGGCGCCACCTGTCTAGACTACATTGCAATGTTCAGCTGTGAGTGTGCAGCTGGATTCCAGGGCTACATCTGTGAGGTCAATATTGATGAATGTGTCAGCATGCCTTGTCTGAATGCAGGCAAGTGCATCGATGGTGTCAACAGGTAAGAATTCTAGAACTGACAATAAAAAAGACAACTTGATAGGTAATTAAATTACTCCAAAACGTGATTCAGTAGCAGCAGTTTACTTCACTTGAGCAATAGAAATTGATACCTTCTTAAATATTAAATTATTTTTGTGAAATGTGAGAGGTGTGTAAGTGATACACAGAGCAGCATGAGCATTGCTTAGACTTAGGCCTGGGAATAAATCAATCAAAAAAATCCATTAATCAAACAATAAGTGAATATAAAGTCAATCATTTTGCTGGCTTTGATACATTTTCCTTGTGCATGCGTGTTTGATTTCTTTGTTTCTCACTTCCAAACTCTGTGAATCCTCTTGATGGAGTAAAAAGCTACACCAAAGGATAAGCTGCATTGGGGTTAGGGTTCGGCGTAGACAGTTTCTTTTTATTTGCTTCTAGAGCAGGACATAATATCAATACTATAAAAATTACATGTTTTGTCACATCAAATCTTGAGGCAAGAATTACAGCCATTTTTTTTAAAATTCACCCTTATTTTTTCTGTTTACAGTTATGAATGTGACTGCACGGAGACAGGATTTTTTGGTGACCACTGTGAAATAGATATTCCTGAATGTGCCTCTAACCCTTGCAAACATGGATCCACCTGCATGGAGGGGATTAACCAGTACACCTGCATCTGCTGGCCAGGTAGTCCCAATTTAGAATACTAAAATATTTTAGATTTTCATAACTGTGTCATCAGAACTGTTACTAACTATCACACCATAGCAGTGTTTCCCAACTTTTTTGAGCCACAGCACATATGTCATCATCAAGAAAAACCCCACGGCACACCACCAAACAAATCTCACAAAAATTATATGTAATAAAATATAAAAATCTCGGCCTGTTTAGTTAAATATAACGTTGATATACTGGCAGGAATTGAAGAAAGATACTCACAAAGATCTTCTTCAACCGCTCTGATTATCTTTTTTTTAGTTTTCATAGCCACCTGCTGCCACCTAGCAGAAGAGTATTTAATTGTTCTGCCGTTTGAACTTTGACAAGCAAAGATGGCGCACCTAATGATAAATAACGACATGCTAGAGTGCCATGACACAGTGGTTGGGAATAACTGCATAAGTCTTTCAATAAATTTAACTGTTAGTATTGACCAAGTTTAATTAATTTAATATAGTAATCTTAATTTAACTGTGCTTGTGTGATAATATCGTTCTAACGTGTTTCTTTGCCAACATTTGTATTGATACACTTAGGTTATGAGGGAGAGAACTGTGAAGTGGATATCAATGAGTGTGAACAGCATCCCTGTGAAAATGGTGGAAACTGTTTTCAGCGATCAGACACAAGGAACTACGGCCTGGTCCCTGAACTCAGCACATTCACATATGAAAATGCTGCTGGATTTATTTGCCACTGTCAACCTGGTTTCACTGGTAAGGCTATTTTATCAAGTCAGTCAATTGTATTTGTATAGGAGAGAGAACATTTTGTCTTTGTGCACTTCACAATTGACAGTTCTTATATTTAAATAGTTAAACATTAAACAGTACAAGAAATTTAATTATTTGTCAAAGGTTATTAGGTTATTAACTACATGTTTTATGACACAATTAAAGCATGTATTTTTCCATTGGCAGGAGACAACTGCTCTGTCAACATTGACGAGTGTGAGTATGCTCCATGTCAGCACGGAGCATATTGTCAGGATATGGTCAACTCTTATCAGTGTGTGTGTCCAGATGGATTCACTGGTAAGATGAACAACTAATCTTCTTTTCTCTTTATCGCCCATCACCCTCTCTCTCACCCTGTGAGTGAATGATTCTGCTGACCCTCAGCTTAATTACATTTCCTTTGGTGTTAGTGAATCCAACTATAGGGAAGTTAAAGAATATTTTTACCTGACAATCAGAATGACTTACAAAAGTGTATTGAATGATTTTAAAATACATTTTTGCATGTCTTTATGAATGAATCAGTTATTGGGTAAGTCTAATACATCTTTCACTAGAGCTAGAGCTAATGCCTGTGAAGTCCTCGGAGAAGCACAATAAACTAGTAATCCTCTTTCTCCTGCTTACTGTTCCTTATGGCCTTCTTGGTTATTTTACCATTCATGAAGACACTTGTCTGTCCATCACTAAAAAGAAAAGAACATGATTAGCAACAGACTTTAACTCAAATCTGTATCACACCTGATAAATTTAAAACTATATTTTTAAAGCCATTACTGTATTATCTAGACTATAAGTTGCACTTTTTTCATCTTTTGGCTGGGATTGCATAGTCAGGTGCAATTTATATATTAAAATATATAAATTCACATTTTTGCTATTTTCACCCTGAGAGCTGCTAGAGGGCACTCTAGGCTTGTGTACCAGTATCTGCTACTCCTGTACCACTGAAAAGTTACATCTTCGTTAATTTCACACTGACAGCTGCTACAGGGCACTGGTGCGATTTATACTCTGGAGCGATTTATAGTCTGAAAAATATGGCAAATCATCCACATGTTAGCCATCAACTTTAACCACTAACTGGGGGTCTCCTAGCAAATTCATCAAGTGCAAAGAGAGTGTGTGTGTGGCCAAAGGTCCTTAACTGATCAATGACAAGACAGTTTTTAACAATGCTTAATAATCCTAGTAACCATTCTTTATTGTGTTGTCTCCCCAAATACAGGCCCACACTGTGAGCTGGATATTGATGAATGTGAAAGCAATCCTTGCCAAAATAATGCCACTTGTGAAGATACCACTAACTCATACAGATGTCACTGTTTGACACCAGAAACTGGCCAAGAACCATGGGGAGGACGCGACTGTGATATTCGTCTGATTGGCTGTCATCAACATATGTGTCAGAACATGGCAGCTTGTGCACCAATACTGACTGTTGGAGGAGATCATAGCTACACATGCCTGTGTCCACCTGGTTGGACGGGAGCACACTGCAATACCTCAACAACATTCTCGTTTAACTCTGAGGGCTACGTTTCCATGCAGCTGCCTGGTTTCAAAAATGCAAGCACAGAGCAGTCTGGTGACTATGTTCACAAGCACCACATGCAGTTCCGATTTAGGACCACTCTGCCTGATATGGTGCTGTACTACCAGGGAACTGCAGAGCACCACTTGGTCCTGGAGCTTGTTGGTGGCTCAGTTCAGGCCGTAGTAAAGTCAATGAAGGTGACCAAGGTCACCTGTCCTGGACCACTGAATGATGGAGAATGGCACCAGGTTACTGTGACCATGGATGATAGTCTCTTCCTTACAGTAAACAAACACAACTATGAGGAGAGATGCCAGGTAAAGAATGAGGTCCCTAAGCACCGGGCATTTCTTCAGTCCAGCACTTTTCAACAGCTCTATGTTGGAGGAGCACCACAGGATTATTTACACAACACGTCCAGAAGGAAAGGCTTTATTGGCTGTATGGAAGACCTTCATGTTGACCAAAAGCTGTTCATACCACACAACCACATCAGAGAAGAGAACAAGGGCCTAGAATTAGGATGCAGCAAACAAGACTGGTGTCAGGATGACCCATGCATGCAACAGGGGCAGTGTGTGGACATGTGGGTCCGTGCTAGTTGTCTTTGCCGCCGGCCCTATTACGGAAAAAGATGTGAGAAAGGTAAGAGTTGTAAAATCTTTGTAATTCATTCTGGTCAATAGAAGTTTTTTTTTGTCCTGAGTGCAGAACAAAAAGTTTGTAAACTTTACATAAGTGAATTATAAGTCCTGCTACCTAATATGAATATAATAAAATTTGTTTCCACAGACATTACATAAAACTGTAAATACTGCTAATGAAAAAGTACATACCGTATTTTCAGGACTACAAGTCGCTCTAGAGCAGTGGTGTCAAACTCATTTTCACCGGGGGGCCACATCAGCATCACAGCTCCCCTTGAAGGGCCAGTTGTAAATGGAAGACTGTATAGATCAGGGGTCCCCAAACCCTGGTCCGCGGACCACTACCAGTCCATAGGTCATTTGGTACCGGGCCACAGTGGGACACAATGAGAAAAATGTACTTCATTTTTACTAATTTACTACATTCAAAGAAAATCCAGTCATATCCATTTACTTTTTTTAATTCAAAGATAATCTGGCAATATTTTAAGGTCACAGGTAACAGGTGGTACTGGCTGACCACTCCTTGGAACACGGAAAAGGTCAGGGACCGCTGGTTTGGATGTAACTACTCAATAACAGACTAATAAATGTTTCTGCAATTGATTATTATTTGTTCAAGCTACAAATATTGTTCAGTTCAGTTATTAATTTTTTTAATTATATAGGTGAAAAAACTCTAAACTCTAAACTAAATGCTTTTTAAGCTCCCGTGGGCCACACAAGACGGTCTGGCGGGCCACATTTGGCCCCCGGGCCTTGAGTTTGACACACATGCTCTAGAGTATAAGTAGCACCAGCCAAAGGATGAAAAAAAAAACTATATATAGAAGTAGCAGATACTGGTACTCAAACCTAGAGTGCCCTCTAGCGGCGGTCAGTGTGAAAACATGTGAATTCATATATTTTAATATATACCGTAAGTCACACCTGAGAATAAGTTGCTTACCCAGCTGAAGTATGAAAAAAAGTGTGACTTATTGTAAGGAAAATACAGTACTTGTTGCCATGAAATCTAACAGCTTTGTGCTTTTTCTACCTTAGAATACCCATCCTGGACTTTTGGCCATGAGAACACCAGCAGCTTCTCTACTTTCAGCATCTCAGAAAGTCATGGTGACAACTTCACTGTTACCTTTTTCTTGCGCTCTCTCAAACTTCACGGTCTGCTTCTTCAACTCACTCGAGAAGGAAAGCCCTACCTTACGATCTACCTAAAGGAAGGCATAATCGCACTCTACAGCTCCTACACCACAGTGCTGTCAGAAACTAAGTTTGTGACAGATGGAAACAACAACTTGGTCACTGTTAAGGTTCAAAGTGGCCCTGTGTTTTTTGATAAAACAGGGAACCATCATGCCTTCAGAAGCAACAGAGTAGAGGCAGGGGATGTTGCTTATGTTGGGGGACTTCCTGCAGGTAAAACCATGAAAACCTGGGGTGGACACTTTAAAGGCTGTTTGCAGGACATCCGCCTGGATGACAAGCATCTGTCTATGGAGGATCATCAAGAAAGAATCAAAGTTTACAAAGCCACTAGAATGGAATATGTGATGATGGGATGCCAGAGTGATGATACATGCAAGGTATGAGTCGTCTACAAGAACAGTTTTTTCAGTCAGCAGAATGTACAGATTTAGTGTTCCATATTTGCTACTCTTGTAATTATAGATCAGCTGTCAGCTGTTCTAGATCTATTTATATATCCATCCATCCATCCATTCATTCATCCATTCACTATAGATCTTATTTGGACAATAGATGAGAGAGTACATCTGTTTACCATTCAGAAAATGTAATGTATGTTGTATTGATTATTATTATTAAGGATCTGTACAAAGCAAGCTACTGCACAATACCTTTTACAGCTGATTTTTTTATTTCTCAGTCTTATATGTTCACTGTATTCCCTGAAATTGAACTTGGTGTGAGATCAAACAAGTGATTCTGAGTGCCTGTAGTAAGTTATTAATTCATTTTTTTGTGTGTGTGCAGGGTGAACCCTGTTTCAACAGTGGACACTGTGAAGTCACATGGAATGACTTCAGATGCCACTGTTCTATTAATTTCTCAGGCCAACTGTGTGAGACACGTCTGTGGTGTGTCGACAGTCCTTGTGCTGATGGAACGCGTTGTGTGGACTTACATGATGGTTATGAGTGTAAGTTTCTAAAGTAACCTAAAGTTCTGGTCTTAACAATCTAAAGTGCAGTTAAGGCAAATGCTAACCTGAAATTGTGAAAAACAAATACAAAATGATACAAAAACACATAAAAATGTATCTAATAGAAATTAGCAAATTGAAATTGAGTGGGAAAACAGCAATAATCCTCCATGTGCAATAATAATCCTCACAATAATTCTCGAAAAAAATGCTAATAAGATCTTCTTCCCTTACAGGTCTAACAGAAGCCTCATTTAATGACAACTCTCTCCAGTACACGTCCACCAATTCCACAGTCAGCCCTGTCACAAACATCACCTTGAATATAAGAACACGCGACCACAATGGAATTTTATTGCGTGCCACTAGCAGAGCTGAAATCTTCTGTCTAGGTCTGCTCAACTCCTCCCTGTTGGTTAAGCTGAACACTGGAGAAAATGCAACAGTGGTGGTGTTCACAAGCGATTGGACCATCGCAGACGGATCGTGGCATCATATTCAACTCACCATGGTAGATTCCACGCAGGCAGCATCAGGCTGGTATCTCGATGTAGATGGGAAAAGAGCAGGCAGCAGCGTTGGTGTTGCTGGTACCCTCAGTTTTCCCACTGATACTCATATCTGGCTGGCTGAAAAATATTCCGGTTGTTTGGGGGAGATTAGAGTCGGTGGAGTGTATCTGCCACTGATTCATGTACCACACACCCCTCAGATGAAGCACTTTGCCCGACTCGGAGGCCGTGAACCAATTATAGGATGCCAAGGAACACCAGTCTGTGATTCCCAGCCATGCCAAAACTCAGGAGTTTGTCAGGACCATTTTTTTGAGTTTAACTGCAGCTGTACCTCTGGCTGGACAGGAGGTCTGTGTGAAATGGAGGTTAATGAATGTGCTTCAAGTCCCTGTGCCTATGGAACCTGTGAAGACCTCCTAGCAGATTACCAGTGTCACTGTCTGCCAGGATACACAGGGAAAAACTGCCAAGAAGAACTAGATAATTGTCTGGAATATAAATGCATGAATGGAGGAGCATGCATTAAAACAGCAGATGCTGACACGTGTTCCTGTCCACCTGGTTACATTGGCAAGCGCTGTCAGTGAGTACACACCTTTCAATGTTTCTATTGTGCTAATTTAACCATATTATTGTAAACATGGTTTATATGTACCATTTATATAACTATGAAATAGTGATACATAGTATAGTAATACTGATTGCAAAAGTTGTTGGTGTAAAAATAATGTATGTTCCCATTTCTAACAGGTGGCGCTCATCTCCAGTTGAATGTGATGCAGAAACTGAATGTCTCAATGAAGGCGTTTGTATAGAAAGCAACATGGAAGGAAACTGCATCTGCAAGTCTGGATTCACTGGTTTCAGGTAACCATGGGAACCATAATAAACAAACACAAACGTGTGCTTGCTTGTACATAGGCCTTCTGCTGCAAGTCGACTTTATGTTTCCATCCTGTTTGTTTGTTTGTTTCTGAGGTGTGAGACAGAAATAGACGAGTGTGGCTCCAATCCGTGTCTGAACAATGCCACATGTCTGGACAAACTTGACAACTTCCAGTGTATGTGTGTACCAGGCTTTACTGGATTAACGTGTGAGGCCAAGGTAAGTGCTCAAAAGCATTTTTGGTTTTGCAGCACATCAGGTCTAAAATCTACCTGGAAACTTTGCTTTACGTTTACCGTAGGTCATCTTGTAGCAATATTTTAGATATATTGTACTTGTAAAAATAACCATGGCAAAAATCTTTTAATTTCAAATCCAGGTTTACTAAAACATGGTTATATCATAGAGCTGACGTCCCTAAACACTGGATCCTAGAGCTATGTGGGTCCTTTGGTGCTGTGCCTCTAAAAAAAAAAGACGAGCCCTGATTGCTTTCAAAATAATGAGAAAATAATGTTTCTGCACATTTGTGCAACAAATTCCTTTAAAATTTCCATTTAAGTTTAATCAATAGAAAATGTGTAAACAACATAACCACTGAACAGGTTGATTTTTGTTTCATTTTATACCCATGGTAAAAAAAAAATTGTTCACAAAATCTGATGCGGTTTTAAAACCCTGTAGAGAATAGATCCTGACAATGCAAATGTCAATTTAAAATGTTGTGTTTACTAATATCCAAATTATGCTAGTTTTTAGTATCAAAGACAGATTCAATTTTTATTTGATAGCAAAATATTTATATACATTTTATGTTACAGTCATCATTTTAAAAGGTTTTAATCTGAGTCAATTGTGCTTTTGCAGAAAGAGCAGAGTACTGAACGAGTACCCTGGCTTGCAGTGACCATCCCTCTGACCACGCTGTGTATGTTACTCACTCTCCTGGTAGTCTTCTTCCTTTTTACCACAGCCCGTAAGAAGCGACAGTCAGAAGGCACATATAGCCCCAGCTCACAGGAGGTGGCAGGGGCAAGGCTAGAGATGGGCAGCGTTCTCAAAGTTCCTCCAGAAGAGAGGTTAATATGAGAGCCACAGATGTGGCATGTACTGAACAGATGTCCAGCAGTGGGATAATGCTGGTCTGCCTTGCACTACACAAACAATACTGTGTGAAGCGAGTTACTGGAAGAAGAAAAACCCTAATAAAAACAGAAGGGTGGATGTGTTTTGACAAGACTGACAGGAAGGTTTCAAGACAATGCTGTAACACTGGATGTCCCGATGACAATATGAAGTTGGGTTTTTAAGATGCACCTGTGGATGCTCAGACGTTTATTCTGACAGTCTGAAATATAGCAAGAGTTAAATTGTGTTACCATCACTACAGATCTTGAATAACCGTATTCCTCTTAGACTGTCCATTGTGATTATTATAGCACTGTGAGCTGCTGAACAAAGGACATAAGGAAACTATGAAGTCATAATGTGAAATATATAGGGTCAAGTGGTAGTTATTGACTCCTACATTGACTCAGAGGACATCAGTGCAGACTCTGTAGACGTCATTAAATGCTCAATAAGACTGTTTTTGTATTTTATACCCATTGGATTCAATGTTGTTTTTTTTAAACTGTATTTATGTCATATTTTAGTGTTGTAATAAGAATGTTGATAAAGAAGACACGTTATTTTGTTTGATGGAAAACACTTGTATTGGTAGAAATAATACAGCTGCACTGTGGTCATCACACATGTTAATAATGTACATTAAAAAAACAAGAAAATAGAATTTTAAATAATGCCTTTTCCTACTGTTACTCAGATTGTTTTGGGTTAATACATTCTTTCTAAGAATGTGTGAGATTTCATTGGTTTCACTATTCCTGATTTCTTTTTCTTCAAGTCATACTATAATCTTCCCAGATTGCTAGTTAGGTGTAAACAAGAGTCTATTTTCAGTCTGTCACCCAGTAACTTGTTTGTCCAGCAAGGATGCCACAAGGACCTTGGAGTGATTGTGACCTACTGCATTGCTTTATGTATTACTGTTTTCATGTGCACTATCATCCACCATCAATTATTAAGGATTCTTAAATGCTCCTCAAACACAGTAATGTCAGGGGATTTGTTTGCCTTATGTGCCTTCAAAGCCAAGTCCTAAGTCATGATCTTTGCTGGATGTTTTTATGTAATTTCTTGTACAAACTGTAGCACGGTTAGACATGGTTCTGTTTTTTATACACCAGAGCAGAAGATATTCACTTGATAACATTAACAAACACCATATATTGACTAAACAACTCAAGCCACCTTCTAGCTGATGTGTGGGCCTTGTTGGCACATGTTAATCAACTAATATTACATTGGAATTGTCTTCATCAAGACAAGATAAAATATTTATAGACAATAATGATGACAGACTGAGCAAGTGATTTGATGTCAACGAAAAAGAAAACCAATTTAGACTCGTGTTTAGCCATTTTCCTGAACAGAAAGTGAAAGATAACTTTATTAGTAGAGTTAGATGTGAAATATTAATTATGCTAATATTGATCTTATTTAATAATAAATAGTAAGATATGACTGCAGCATTAGGATAGAAACAGGTCCTGTAGTCTGGAAGTTACAGGAACCTGTAGATTACAATAAAACACAGTAAAATACTACAAATTTATAATAATTAGTTTTTTAAAATATATTTAAACAATAATGTAAGTATTTAAAACATGTGCTACTATTTATTTAAAAGGAAAAGAAAACCTCTTCTGAAACACAGTGACACATCCAAAGAGTGATGCATATAACTGTGTCCTATACACAACTGCAGCCATACACAGTAGGGCAGAAGGATAACAACAGCTGCAACTGATGCACATGTTTGTGTGACCACACAATGTTCACAATCAAAACACCTGTGTGACAGATACACAGCTATCACCAATGCACAGGTGTGTGTGACAAGCACACAGTTGATCCATCACTAGGGAAACAAGGCACCACTACGTGAGTAACAAGTTGATTTAATCATTCAACGAGTAGTACAGAAGTACAGAAGTAGGCAAAATGTTCATTTTATCAAACATTTATTTACAAGACTAATCATGGATAGACTGGAAAACTGGTGGTGGGCAGAAATCAGGAAAAATGGTCTGCATTAAACACAACCTTTCTTCTCTTGTAAATACTCCAAATTAAGGAGCATGTGATGCAATGTCAAATACTGTACATCACCAAGCAATAGTCCAATGAAATTGTTAAGCAACTGGACCATTGGGAGCTAGTTCGCTACAAGAACTAGTTCTTGATTCCCATTCTTAGATATAATAGATATATTATGGTGGAGCAATAAGCAAGGCAGGAGATAAAGAGAAAGATCCCTTAGAAGATGGTGTGAAGTGTGTGTACACGGAGGAGGTTGGTAGAGGAGTAGAGGAGTTAAGATAATAATGCAAAATTAAGCAGCAGAAAGAACAAGAAGAGTCATTGTGTTTAATACAGTCCTGGGGAGGACTGGGAGGATGTCTGAGGAATGAAGTTCTAATTATTACAAACAAATGGTGTGTGTGAATCTGTAGTAGCTGTGGAAAGTTATTCAGCCTCAACAAGAAATAGCAGAAGGATATGTAGTATAGTTTAGATTTTTAGAATAGAATCTCTGAATTCAAAGCTTGGTTTTGGAGTTCTGTCACTCTGTTGCTCATTAGATTGCCAAAAGGACTGTTGCTGACTAGAACACGCACCTGACAATGACAATGGACATGAGTGATTAGGGCTGCAGGGGGCGTTATGAGTCTGACTGATTTCATGAGGGACGCCAAGCTTCGCTTTGACATAATTAGATGTTAAAACAAAAACAAATATATATAAAAATTAAGAGAACTTGCGTATTAGGGGGTTATGGGGTATTTTTCTGTGATATAAGTTGCGTTCTGTAAAATAAAAGCAAAAACTTCCATCTACAACAACACTTTTGTGTAGACGGATGTGCTGTTGGAGACAGAATCCAATAACACTGATAAGCATTAAGATAATCAGTTTATTACAGTTTAGATTTCAATCGTTATTATAACTATTATATTATAACTATTGTTGACCCTAAGAAATAAAAAAGCTAAATGTGTTTCATGTTTGCCCCATCATTGTCCATATTTCTTAAAAAGTTTTAATTGATTTTGCAGTGCACTGTGACTCTCCGAGGTTGAATGGAAGAAATAGCGCCGACGTTACAGGGACTCCACTACCCATAAGGCACTGCGGACATATACACCGGCATGCTAAACGCTAAAAGTTCAACCAACGAACACAAACAACCACAACACAGTATATCCCCGAGAAAATCAATTTTAACACCATAGCGGACAGTGAGGTAACTTCTGCTGCCGCTTCACCCTTCAAACCGTATCCGAATCTAAAACACATCCATACTCATGTTCGAACCAATGCACTTCCTGGTCCGACAGCGTCGAGTGTCCCAGTGGGAGCGCGCTGCTTTTAAGGTTCCATCTTGGCACAGGGTGAGTGGGTGAAGGGGTGAGTGTTCATCTGTTTATATGTTGTATCCTTGTTCATATTTGGCAGTACTTCATTGTCACCCCGTTATAATGAGCTCAACCGTTTATCCAATCATTGGGTGGTATTTAAATGGTGAAACTGGAGATGAGGGCTTTGACTGAGGTCGATAGTAGATAAATTTGAAAGTAGCGTTGTATTAGTAGTAGTGTTGTGTCAGCTTGACCAGCACTGATATTTACCGAAAATAAAGCTTATTTTTCCTGTATAATTTGGGTGGATGCTTTAAGTAAGATCAGTATGGGGATGTCTCTAATACTTTTGATTAGTCACAAATGAAAAAAAACAAAAACAAACATTCAACACATACATCAACCTGCTGTTACAATTTACAGTATATTTAATACATTGTTTTGTCTTGATTAATCATTTATTCATTTAATTATTGTCATCACAATTTGCCAAGATCAACCCATCCACTTTCCTGTGATTAATCAGATTAAAAAAGACAATTCCAGCATTTTTCATTTTTTCTGGAAATTTTTTGCACAGATCAGACTTGTACAAATTCCTTAAAGGATATAGCATGCATGAGGAAACGTGTGTGTGTGTTCATAACACACATGTTTATGCACAGTAGCAGCATGTCCATCAAGCCAGCCAGCTCTAGAGATATTCATCGTTGATTCGTTGAGGAGCCCCTTCTGGGCTTTGCCCTTAGGGTGAGTAAGGTGCTCTCACACATCTAGGCTGTAAGGTACAATTAAGCTGGCAAGACACAGTGCTCCCCTGTCAGCCACTCTAGGAAACTGTGTGTGGGGCAAATGGACATTAATGCCACAACGAGCCCAACTGGAGACCCACAGTAAGGACAAATATTCCTAACAATCCTAGAGTCCTGTCAGTTGGGATAGATCCATGTCACATAGACCTCCTGAACAGGCTGATGTGCCTTTTGCTGTGTGATTCCCTGTCAGACAGCCCATAGCAACTGAGGCCCCGCTGAGTGAGCTGAGATGTCAGGGCCAACACCACCAATGGCAGCCTCTTACAGTAGTCAATAGCTTGTATCAGCCAATCATAAAGCAGCCAGTTAGAATTACTAATAAAAAAGAGTACAAAGTTGCTAGAAAACACTGTACTCAGTACTCCTGTTACTTTGCATAGCTGTTAGTCCATGTCTCCTCATTTAAATCAAGTCATAGTTTTAGAGAGTGATAAGAGAGTCACAGTGCACTGCAAAATTCACATTTTTTAAGAAATATGGACAACGATGGGGCAAACATGAAAGACATTTAGCTTTTTTATTTCTTAGGGTCAACAATAGTTATAATATAATAGTTATAATAACGATTGAAATCTAAACTGTAATAAACTGATTATCTTAATTCTTACCAGTGTTATTGGATTCTGTCTACAACAGCACTTCCGTCTACACAAAAGTGTTGTTGTAGATGGAAGTTTTTGCTTTTATTTTACAGAACGCAACTTACATCACAGAAAAATAACCCCTAACCCCCTAATACGCAAGTTCTCTTCTTCTTTGCTGAGGTAGACAGCAACTGTCTGGATCTACTGGATAATGACTTGACTAATAAAAATAATAATTAATATAGACAAACCAAATGTTATGGTTAGTTCCTTCATATAATATAGTGAAATCAAAGTGCCCAGTGCGCTACTTTTCATTTAATTTAATTTTGCACACAATGTGTAGAAATGTAGAAGGTTTATGTTTATTATTAAAAAACAATAAGTAAATAAATATGAACTCCAGGTTAAGAAAATGGACAACAGCATGTCTTTGTCTGTAACATATCTTTCATCTCTTTGTGGTTCGCTGGATTAAGTTACTAGTTTGTATGTAGGGAAGTTTTGTGGTCAGAGCTGTCGGTCCTGTGTCTGTATGCGTGTTTTTGTCCCATGTGTTGAGTGATGCAGGTCAGGTGTTTGTCCTGCCTCTGATTCCTCTGTGTGATGCAGAAGGTCATTCTGATGTTGATAAAGTCAGCTTAGTCTCTCTCTCGGGACCGGCAGCTTGAGGAGCAGTGATACAAAGCAGCTTGGATTTCGCTGCAGTGAGGTATTAGGGTCCAACAACAATCATGCCAACTGCTCTGTTTCAAACACAGTTGCTACACAAAAGGCATTTCTTCACATAGAGAGACAATATTGGAAAAGAAAAAGAAGAAAATTAATGTTTAAAATAGTGGAAAATAAATGAGGGTGGTCACACATGGCACATTCTTTTGAAACATTTTAAAGTTTATAATAATCTAA